CCCGTCTCTACTAAAAAAAAAAAAAAAAAAAAAAACATGAATGAGAGATCCTACCTGGTTATGTAAATGAAAGAAAAAAAGCAAATATTTTAAACTAATAAATTCTTGTCTGATCTTATAAAATATAAAAATCTGCTGACATGAGCAACATGGGTATTTGGGAAGCTTTTTTACTTTTTAAATTTTTTTTTTTCTGATTTTTGCATTTGAAGAGATAATGTCAAAGTGATTTCTGAAGTAGCTGTTCCTGTGCATCTTTGTATGTTTCTAGAAAGTTTCATTTTAAACAAGTTCTCTGATTACATTGATATAGTAAGAAATTTATAAATAGTAACTGAAAATACATATTAGCACAAATCAACTGATTATAAAAAATCATTAACACTCATTTTGCAGGCGGGGGGGTAAGATTAGATCATAATTCAGATTAAAATGTGAATACAGCTTTACAGTTATTTCTGCAGGCCAGCAAGGCAGTTCATCTCAGGGAAATTCTATTTTGGCACATTTGCGCAATAGAAACTTTTGATTGAAGAGTCTATGTGACATACAATTGTATATACATCTATAGACCTCTGGCCTCTATGAAATTATTCATGTTGATATAACTGATTAACAAAAATAATTTAGAAAATATGTCAGGCACAGTTGATGGCTTCTCAATACTGTTTTGCATTTTTAAACAAATCAAGAATGTAATTTTGACTTTTGTTTATGGTTATTCTTATGACTACATAGACATTTACAGATGGAATAACATTTAGTTGTCTTATACATGGACTATTTTTAACTAAACAATAACACAACTGCACAAAGGGAAGGAAATGTTTACATTTTTAAAATCACTGTTAATTACATCTGGTATTTTTCAGATTATGAATGAAATAATTTGAGTTTTACTATTATATCAGAATATTCCAAACAAATCCCACGATTTGTACTAACTTAAAAAAATTAGTAGTTAAAACTTGCTATTTGTTCTGTAGTTTATGTCAAAGAGTATTTCATTTATTGAGAAAGATATAATCTCAGTCTTCATATAG